TTCCCTAATTAAGGGATATTGGAGTCTCTGTATAGCCCTACCCTATACTAAACCCTAAACCCAATAGAATCCCTATAGATCCCTTTAAAGGGACCCTTAAAGGAACCCTTATACCCGTCCAACCTTAAACCCCCATAGGTGCTGTTCTTGGTTGTGACGATTGCGGGAGCTCACGGAGCTTTGGCTGCAACTGAGATCCTGTTAGGGTTTAGGGTTTAGGGTTTAGGGTTTATGGTTCAGGGTGGGTTCGGATGGTCTCTTGTCTTAGGGTTTGGGGTGTGTGGGGTTTCTGATATTTGTGGTTGTAGAGGTTTGGCTTGGGTTTGTTTGTGTGTTCTTTTGCTGTTCTGTTTTGGCTGGGATTTCGTTTCAGCTTTATCTGTCTGATTTGTGTTTCGGTGTGTGTGTGTGTGTGTGTGTTTGTCTCTGTGCGCGTGTGCGTGGGTGTGTGTGTGTGTGTGTGTGATGGGTTGTGATTTGAGCACCCCGCAAGCACGAAACCACACGGTCGTGGCACGGCGACTTAGATTTGACAATTCAGAATAATTCTGGAGTCGTTTCGTGATTTTCAAGCACCGGACTTACATGCAATCTGTACAGAATACGCGTAAGCCCCAAATAATCGGACCCTCACCGTAATGCGACGTAGCGTCGAAACCCAATCTTCAATCGTTGCTTCTCACATCCGCCATCAGTCATCACTCCTAGCTGTGAAGCGATTTCGGACTTATGGGGTTTATGGTTTCCTGGCCCTGAGTTCAAACCCCCTCAACTCTAACCTTGCCTAGGCCTAGGCCCCTTTGCATGGTGCCCTCAATCCCCATATGGGAGTTTCCGAAAATAAGTAAGGGTACCTTATTTTGGGGTCCTTACAGTAAGGATCCTACTATTTAGGGTACTATATTAGGGCTCACTATTTCCGGAAACTCCCATATGGTTCAACCCGGAAGGATTGTGGCTCTTGCCTGCCATCCTATCCGTCCTCGGCGGCTCCAAGGAAAGGGCAGCTACTACAGGGGCTTCAATAATTACCTATACTATTGTGGGGGTTCCTAGTATAAGTATAGTATCAAGAGTTTTTCCAATCACAACGGACGAAGTGGAGCAGGAGCAGTCGTGGCATCGTCGCCTTCGTCGTCGAGTTGTACATAGTAGTAGTAGCAGTAGTAGTCGCAGTAGCAGTAGCAGTAGCAGTAGCAGTAGCAGTAGCAGTCGCAGTCGCAGTCGCAGTCGCAGTCGCAGTCGCAGTCGCAGTCGCAGTCGCAGTCGCAGTCGCAGTAGCAGTAGCAGTAGCAGCAGCAGTAGCAGTAGCAGTAGCAGTAGCAGTAGTAGTAGTAGTAGTAGTAGTAGTAGTAGCAGCAGTAGTACTGGTACTAGTACTAGTACTAGCAGGAGCACTAGTAGTAGTAGTAGTAGTAGTAGTAGTAGTAGTAGTAGCAGCAGTAGTAGCAGTAGTAGTCGCCGTCGTCGCAGCAGCAGGAGGAGGAGGGGTTGAAGTTGGAGTCGCTGCAGCAGTTGTGTAGGGGTACAGGAGTACAGGCGGTTTAGGGTTTAGGGCTTAGTATAGGAGTACAGCAGTCTAGTAGGAGGGTAGTTGTAGCAATAGCAGTACAGTAGCAATAGCCGTGCAGTAGCAGTAGCATCGATATCAACGGTTCCAAGGAGGCATTCATAGCAATAGTAGCTTCGCAGCACAATATTTACAATGCCAGTACCGCTGGCGTTGCTGGGTTCGACGAGCAGGAGTCTGAGCACGAGCTATGCTCGCAATCGTAGTCACGATAGTTGTATCACTCATTCAAGAAACTCAACCCTAAACCCTATAAACCTAAACCCTAAAAGAACCGTGACAACAGTGACAATGCGGCCTTCTCCTGCACGCCGAAGCATGGAAAAGCTTTACTAAGAGCATCATCCCCATGCATGTTGCGACTTTATACAGGGCCCTTACTGTAAATGTCATACCCGGAGCATGCTGCCAGGAGTCGAAGGTGGAGCCTGCGTCATGAACATCGCAGAGGAGCATATAGATCGTATTCCATCAGCCAGGCCTGGATGTGGCCTCTCAGTGGAACGGGAGGTTTCTTATACTTCAGTGTTGCTGTTAGCGGCCATTTCGGGAGGTGCCTTGCGGTGTGAAGCCTCTGATACGGAGGCTAACGCCGCGCCCCTTCTTCTGAGACTCCTTTTATTGGCTGAGCCTTAAATGCTCAGCAAATTTTCGTTCCGTCTTTCGAATCCCTGCGCTGCCAGCCTCCATATGGAGATATCGGGCAGAGCACATGGGTTCCTACCCAAAGCTATTCGTGCAGACGGTGGCTTATCCATCTGCATGCCGTTTCTTCCAGCACGGTTCTGTGCACCTTTGGAGTACCATCTCCCTGGGAAGCAGGGGGGGTGTAATATAGGGGGTCGATATAATTGAGAATAACATCCTCTTTTAGGCCCTTGCATGATCGTTTCAGGCCCTAGCACGATCGTATAACATACCCCAAACCGCGACATGATAGAATCCTTAAAGTAAAAACCGTAGAAAACATTATGCAGAACCCTTACAGCCTTAAGTGGACGTCATTTTTGATTTCGATGGTTATTTATGGCCCCTATAAATCCACTGGTGTAACAGACGTCGGGAGCTTTATTTCTGTGCTCTGCGCTTGGCACTCTGGCCGAGCTTTGCGCCGTGCTTCAACTAGGATGCCCAGTAGTACCCTTATTCCCTTTTTGTAGTCCTAGGTTCCTCATAAAGTTACCCAATACCAAAAAGAGAGGCCTTTTTATTCTTAGGTTACTGGGTATCCTAGGCAAGCACACGCTCCGTACTTCGCCTGTGGTCCCCTGTCTGAGGCTTGCGGGTTTAGGCTTTAGACTTCAAGGTTTCGGGTTTAGGCTTTCGACTTCAGGTTCAAGGCTTCGGAACTCTTAACCCTAAACCCTAAATTCAGGTTTTAACGTTCAGGTCTGATTGACAGGGCCGTTGCCAGCAACTCGGCCGGCGAGTTGCTGGGCGACAGAGGCCGGCTGTGCGCCAGTGCTGTGCCATGTGACTCCGGCTCGGAGTCGTCGGCTTCCCCTAGGCAAGGGATCTATAAGGGTTCCTTTAAAGGGATCTATAGGGTTTAGGGATCTATTGACCCATGTATTAAGGCTTTTGGGCCCAAAGACCATGTTATGTAAGGCTTTTGGGCTGTTTTGATGTCCAGGGTTCCTGTGTGAACCTTTGATAGTTTTAGGGTCCTCAATCTAGGTTTCTGGGATGCGTCATTCTATAAGTGTATTTGGGTTATGTGATCAGTACTGGAGCATAGACCTCATGCGTTCCTACCTGACCTGGCTTTTCCTGTCCAAAGGACACATACGGCCAGGAAGGAGCCACACTTCCAAGCATCCTCAACGTCCGACAAATGCAGCGACGATCTTTCCCCACCCTCGCGCGTAGGGTTGTTAGAATGTAAACTCAGCCATTCTCCGGTCTACACCTCTTCCGGTCTCCATCTACGAGTCCCCGAAGTGTCCCAGACGGGGAGTCCATCGCATCCCTTCATCTGTAGGGTGTGGATGTTCGAAATAAGATCAACTTTTGTTTTGGGAAAGGGCCTTAAACTCCGCACTTGCACCTTTAATAAGGACCTTCAGCCCCTAACCCCTAAAAAACACCGACAAAAAGCAGTGTTGGCCCTTTGGTCTTGCGGTTGCTACTTGGAGGTTCATGGATAGTTATAAGTAGGGTGATAAGTAGGGTAACTATACTCTTAGCCCATATTGGGTGACTTCTAACCCCACATATAACTACCCATGAACCTCCAAGCAAGGGCTGCAGGCTGAGGAAGATTGAAGCCCCCCCAAGGTTTATGGCCTTAAGCGCTGTGAACGGGGAAGCCCTCCAGATTCGCGGCTTCAAGGATTTAGGGGTTGGTGTTCAGGATTGGTGGTTCTGGGTCTAGTTTCGGGTTTAGGATCCTAACCCTAGGCCCCTACTTGGAGGGTCGGGGGACTTAGTAAGTAGGTAGTAAGTAGAGTTATAAGTACCCTAAAAGGGACCCTAATTGGGGTTATGGCACTTTTAAGTCCCAAAAATAACCAGTTACTAAGTCCCCCGACCCTCCAAGTAAACCCAAACGCTAGGGTCTAACCATCCTGAAGGTCCCTACAACTTGAGAAGTACCTCAAGGAGAAACGGCCCACAGCCCTAAATTTGATAAACCCTTCCGGTAGTGGGTGGATAGCCTAGCCTGCATCCCTAATACCCTAAACTAACCCCAAACCTCATAAACTCTGAACCCAAACCAGCAACCCCTGAACGCCGAAGCTCATAAACTCTAAATCCCCATTGCTCTTCAGCTCTAAACCCCAAACCTCATAAACTCTAAACCCAAACCAAATAACTCCTAAACCCTAAGCCCCCAAACCTCATAAACTCTAAACCCAAACCAAATAACTCCTAAACCCTAAGCCCCCAAACCTCATAAACTCTAAAACTTTCTTAAGCGCATAACGAAGAACTCCTGAGCCTAGCTGAAGACAGGACTGAGGGCTTTAGGGTTTAGGGTTAAGGCTTTAACCCTTAATGGGGACCCCTACCTTATAATGGGCTATATAATGGATACATCATGGCTATATTATGGGTATATACCTAGGTGTCCTTATTAGGGGTTTAGGGTTTAGGGTTTTGGGGTTCCCTCCTTTTACCCTAGGCTTTACAAAGCCTACTATTTGCTTAAGAACCCCCAAAATATAGAAAATAATAATCCCTATATTACCCCTATAAGGAATATATATATATATATATATATATATTTTATTTTTTATTTTTTATTTTTTGGGTGTTCTTAAGCAAATAGTAGAAGCTTGAATCCGGCGACGCGTCTTGGCTCCAAAAGCGTCCAGCCCTACGCAGCGCCATGGGTCCTGCAAACTGGAGGCCAGTCGAAGGTTTAGGGTTTAGGGTTTAGGGGTTTAGAGTTTAGGGTTTTAGGGTTTAGGGTTTAGGGGTTCCTTCAAAACTTACCTTTGGTTAGTAGGGAATGGAAGAATGGTAACAACGGAGTTAGAATTGTACCCCATTCCTCAATTCCCGACAAACCAAAGGCAAGAAAAGGGTTCTATAAGGTTTCCAGGGTTTAGGGTTTAGGGGTTCCTTACAGAGTTTTGGACGGGTTCCTTTAAGGGTGTTACGAGGGATCCTTAGAGGGTTCTGTAAGGGTTTCTTAGGAAGGGGTAAAAAGGGTTCCTTACACGGTTTGTAGATTGCTTCCTTTAAGGGTTCTGCAAAGGATCCTTAAAGGGTTCTGTAAGGGCTCCTGAACGGGTTTTTAAAAGGTTCCTTACAGGGTGTTAGAAGGGTTCCCTTAAGGGTTCTACAAGGGATCCTTAGAGGGTTCTGTAAAGGCTCTTGAAAGAGTCTTTACAGGGTTCCTTACAGTGTTTTAGAAGGGATCCTTAGAGGGTTCTGTAAAGGCTCTTGAAAGGGTTCAAAAAAGGGTTCCTTACAGGGTTTTGGAACGGATCCTTAGAGGGTTCTGTAAAGGCTCCTGAAAGGGTTCAAAAAGGGTTCCTTACAGGGTTTTAGAAGGGTTCCGTTAAGGGTTCTAAAGGGATCCTTAGAGGGTTCTGTAAGGGCTCCTGAACGGGCTCGCGGTCTACTAGGTTCCTGCAGGGTTTACATAGAGCCCTTCGAAGCTTTCAAGCCGTTTGGGGTTCGGGGTCAGTTTAGCAAAACCCGAAAATCCGTATGAGAACGTCAGCATGGTTTGAAACCACAATCCTTCTTATCCCTATCCAGCAGTATCGAGTTTTCTTTACAGTAGTCAGTGGCATTCTTGCCTGATTTTGATTATTCCACTTTAGTTTCTTCACTCGGTCCGGTAGTAGTATCTAACCGTTGAGATTGACACCAACTACAAAGGGTGATTGCGCACCATTGCACTACCCCAAGACGTTTGTGCAACACCCTTCAAGCCCGCGCACTTAGACCGCCTAGAATCTAATTCCAGGGTTTTTGGGAGTCTCCGAGAACATCCTGCTGCCGTAGCCCCATAGTCCTAAACACGAATCTCTAAAGTGCCGGTGTTCCCCCAGAATTACTCTCGAAGCTTGGCAAACGTTCTGTGCTCTTGCAGCTGGTGTGAAGGTGTTTGCTGGTATGGTTATGGGCAGAATAACACCCCTCAACCTCAAACCCTTCGGTACAGGGCAGTCTTCTTGTGCCTGCTCCTCATCGGCTGCCGGGCAGTGCAGGAAGACGTCTGCGAAGATGAGGGTTCATCTTCTCTTCAGGCCACACGCTCCACCAAACATGAGGGTTTCACAACAAGCAGAGGTAGTTATGTGGGGTTCCTTCTAGTCAGCTCATGAATTACGGCGCCCATGGGCCCCCTGTGTTCTACTAGGGTTTGGTACCTGGGGTGTCGGACATGAGGGGCTGGGGCTTAAGGTGCCGGGTCTAGAGAAGAGGATATCTAGCTTCGAGTGATTTTTTATATGTTTCATGATGGTGGCTCTGTTTTGAGTCACGTGAAGCTCAGGTGAAGCACCAAAGAGCCGAGGAAGTTCAATCTCCACCGAATCGCGGCCCATCCTCCGCCCGCTCCCGGCCTCGTCAACCGGGTCGCCGCTTCTTTCGCCGTCGCAGAAAAGGCCACCACGGCTTTTACCGTCGCCAGAAGTGGTTAACTGAACCACCTACGACAGCGGCTCCTGAATCTGATCCTGGAAAGCAGTGTTGCATCTTTAATCGCATCGGTTTCTTCGCATTTTGTACGCAAGAGGACGCCACGTGCTTGCTGAATCAAATCGGGGATGATAATGATATCGCCTTCGATATAGCACCAGATCAGCGCACTGTCGTCTACACCGATGGCTCACAGATCGGCACCAGGGCCTTAACAGAAAGTTTCGAAACTTTTGGGAGTTTCTGAAAATAGGGAACCCCAATATAACACTCTACATAGTATATAGGATCCTTATTATAATTACCCCCCAAAGTAAGGCTTCGCCGACATTACCGACCCCTACAGCCCCACCGGAACGGGTTTGAGTACCAGCTTCTGGAGCCCCAACGACGTGGCAGTCAAGGACGATACGTGTTTGGGCCCTGAAGAACCTACCTTTTCAGGGCAAAGTAGCATTCTTCTTTTTGGACCTAACCCTATACCTTAAGCCCTAAGCCCTAAACCCTAAACCTTAAACCGAACCCAGAGACTCCAATATCCCTTAATTAGGGAATAACCCTTTAATCATATTAGGGATCCTACTATAATTTAAGGTATATTCCTTAATTAAGGGATATTGGAGTCTCTGGGAAGAACCTACCTTTTCAGGGCAAAGTAGCATTCTTCTTTTTAGACCTAAAGAACCTACCTGCTTTTTCGGGTTGCTGACTATGGATCTCTTGATATTAAAGTCCTTAGAAGGGTAGGGTTTAGGGTTTAGGGTTTAGGGTTTAGGGTTTAGGGTTATTCGGGGTTCAGGTTTGCCTTAGCCATACGCCGCGAGCAGCTGATCGTCGTTAATATTACGTCTCAAACCTCCGTGCACACCATTGAGCTTGGAGAAAGGGCAAATGACATCACTATCAGTCCAGACAGAACGATTGCGGCCATTGCGACTGACGGTAGCTACATGGTCCAGGTGAACATCTCTGATTCGAACCCACTGGCCTGGACAACGCAGGAAATAAGCGACATTACGAACATTACATACGACGGCGCCAAGGTTGAAATTCGGGCAGACAACATCGCAGTGCTGACCCTGCAGAGCAACTCCGTGCTCATACTGAACCTGACGGATGCCACAATCCTCAACAGGTTCTCTGCCGGCGAAGTGAATGTCACTGGCATCGACACGATTGAGGACAAGCTGTACTATCCATACTCGCCAACGTAGAGTTGGTGTTGCTGTTGTTGTTGCTGGCCAGCTTTCTTGTCAGGGTCGTATAGCCGAGGAACTAGATACACAAGCTACCCATATCACATAACGAGCCCCGCCCGAATCCGAACCCGAACGCCCCCTTCCCTTGCGAGAATGGACCCGAACCCGAACCCCAACCCAAAAGCAGAACCTTCCCCCACCTTCTCCCTTAAAAAACCTCGTTTCCTAGCATCCCCAAGCTCGGCCTCTCGCGGTCTTCTGCCCTTTAACAACCTTCGAACCTCCCCTCGCCCTCCCCCTCCCCCTCAAACCTCGGAGTAAGCCCACAGAGAACGGTGGACCTCGAGGACGAACCTAGAGGAAACTACACCAAACCCTGTGAGCAAAACGCCTAGGGTTTAGGGTTTAGGGTCACATCTGACACAAGAGCATCTAATGACGCAGACGGCTTGGCATGATGCGCAAGCAGCTCGGTACTGCTACCTCGCCCCCTCCAGACATCGGAACCTCCGAAGCTCCAAACCTCGGAACCTCCCCCCGTCCCCGCATGGAACAAAAGGCTCCAACCTGAACCTCCCCCTTCCCCCTCCCCCCTGTCCGACCTCTGCATCTCCAAACCTCCGATCTTCCACCCCTCACCCCCCCGTTCTCAATCGAACCACGCTGGTTCGGGTTCCAGGTGGGGCACTCAATATGGAGCTACCCAAACCTACTTTTTGTAGGGCCTTTGTTTATAAACTTCGTATTGGGGTTCATAATAAGAGCCCTCAGCAAATAGGGCTGTATGGTATGTCGTAGTCACAGTAGCTTAAGGTCGACCAGGCGAAATAGCAACCACCGCAGCCTCGTGCAGGACGGCTTCATCACCTTGAACTCCAGCCTCACGAATGCAAGGCCAGCCATGGGTCCCCGTAGTACCTTTGTGCCCTTTTTGTTTTGGGTTTCTTGTGGTAAAACTGAATAGTAGGGACACTTTTGTACCTTGATTTTGTGGGGGGTTACTTAGAAGGGGCCCCCACCCTGTAATAGTGACTATAAGGACTAGATTAGGGCCCTATTATATTCCTATTATACCACTATTACAGGGTGGGGGCCCCTTCTAAGGGATTACTGCGAAACTAGGCGGGAGCCGTGGGGTGTTGCTTGGCTCGGTGATTCCACCTTCTTTGCTACGGCGGACCGGCGCAGTCGACACTTGCCTCGGTGTTGCCACACCCAATCAGAACCCTAAACCCTAAACCCTTATGGGAGTTTCCGAAAATTAGGGGTACCTTGTTTTGGGGTCCTTCTGATAAGGATCCTACTATTTAGGGTACCATATTAGGGTCTCCTATTTTCGGAAACTCCCTTATCCCTGAACTGTAAGATTGTCTGACGCCTATGTTGGGATATTCCTCACCTCAAACCAAGGAGGCTTCAGCATCTTCGACCAGAGTGGAGAGCTTGTCTTCACTTCGGGGAATCAACTTGAGCAGTTGGCTGTTTCCTGAAAAGAGTAATTCAGTGAGGTTTCACATGAGTTCTGAAGGTTTGGGGTTTAGGGTGTAGCATCCAGGGTAGCAGTACAAGGTTAGGGAACCGGGCATGCAGGTTTCTCTTGGCCACTATCCTGAGTCAACTGCGGATGAGACCAGCATTGACGTTCGGAATGTGGAGTATGGGACGGTCGACGGTTGCCAGATGCTCTTCGTCCAGTGTATTAGGGCGAGCCTCACCTTCGTCTTTGAGGTTTCGGACCCTTCAAAGCCCGAATTCTTGCAGGTATTGCCCGCCATCATGAGGCCTAGCCAAGGGAAGCTGGTGCCCGACCGACATCTTTTTGTTTCGATCTCGGAAGGAACTACCTATTCAGACATTGAAGCAGGCTTGGACTTGCATCTTAGCGGCTGAGTGGACACACTTTGCACTTTTTGTGATAAAATTATATACATAACCACTATACAACTGAAAGTTTACACTTTGCACTTTTCGGGAAAATACATAACCACTATACAACTGAAAATTCACACTTTTGGGGGGGCGTATGAACTCAGCAACTAAGGTACCAGTGTTCACGGTGGCCGAGGCAGTTTCCCTTCCTGGAGTCCCGAGACACAGAAGATGGCACGCCCATTGGATGGACGTCTGTGGCCGGCCTAACCGGTGAGGAAGACGGCACGTTGTATGGCATCGAGGGTGACGAAATGGAGGTGCAGACGCAAATCCTAGTTATTGACAGTCACCAGCAACCTCCGCTGATCACAGAAGCCATCTCCGTGACATACCCGAATGGCAGCTTGGTGGAGAAGTTGCAGTCTCAGGGGATCGAGCGCATCCCCTCAGGCTTCGCGATTGTCGAGAAGTCTGGGCGTCTGCATCTTCTCAGCACCTCCGGTGTGCTTCAGGCGTCCTTGGAGGTCCAAGTCTTCGGCAGCCTCAGCGGCGTGGCCTACGATCCGAGTCTTGGTCTCCTTCTTACGGACACCAGCGGCTTCGTGCAGTTGTGCGATTTGCAGCCGGCCTGTGGCTTGCGCAACTTCAGCTACGCGGTGGATGCCATTGAGTCGCAGGAAACCACCTTATGCTTTCAGAGGTGAGGGTTCAATGCCTGCGACTTCGAGCATGGCTCTGTCGTCTTGAGATGTCGAAGATGTACGAAGACGTGATAGCCCTGTCTCGCATACTGCCTGGGTAAGTAGCTAAGCATCGTGGCAACGAGTGACGCTACAGATCAGAATTGGCCGCAAACCCCAAAGGCGAAGCCGAAGTCCTGTGGCAGGACACTGACGCTTCGGTGGAGCTGCAGGACGTGGCAGCGATAGGGAATGGCACCTTGCCTGCAAGACTGCCATGAAGGGCTCGGAACATGAGAGCCTGCACGGGTCGAAACATCCTTCGATTTCCCAGGTGTCGCATAGGAGGGCATTTTCAAGTTTGGGTGCCCTTTCTCAGACTCTACTTGGTAATCCTTCGTCCCGAGGCACCTTCCTGTTCCTGGAGACAGACGGCCAAGGCATCTTTGATGCCGCAGTCGGCAGGATTTACAAGGCTCCGCGGTGCATCCAACTTCCTAGTTGCCTTGACCTGCGAACCCCTACCCCCCAAACCTCGATCAGCAGCCCACGATGCCTGCTCTCCCAAGAATAACTTAATGAAAGGCCTAGGCGATTATATCCAGGTCGTATCATTACTAATGGCGCGTAGTCGACCGGCAACTGTGCGTGCGTTTGATTCTGCGTCGTTTTCGGTTTGCCAAGAAGCGACCGATTCCGCACAAAGACATGCTGAGGGATGTGTTATTGCACCATTGCCAAGAGCATCGCAGCACATGCAGCCGCATATGCAAGTTCTGTCGCGGCCTTTACACCCATTCGCATGGTAACTTGTCCTACGCTACAGATTAATCACAAGCTCTCTTTGGCTGGGAAAGGGCTCGTTTGATCCCTCCAGTTCAGAAGGACTGACCCCGAAACCCTCAAGCTCCTAAACCTTCATCCCATAGACCCTGAACCCTACCTAGGATGCCCAGTATAGTACCCTTATTCCCTTTTTGTAGTCCTAGGTTCCTCATAAAGTTACCCAATACCAAAAAGAGAGGCCTTTTTATTCTTAGGTTACTGGGTATCCTAGCTACCTAAGCCCCTACATAAACCCTAGGCCCTAGAACCCAATAACCCAGCAACCCTAGAACCTTAGAGTCCTAGCCCCAAAAACCCCTATTCTACTTATTAAGGCCCCTAAATTAAAGTACCCCTTATAGATCCCTGACAGTAGCCCTAAAAGACCCCTTTATAATAGCCCTTTAAAGGAGCCCTATAACCCTAAGCCCTAAGGGTCCGTGTACTCATATAGTATATACATTGGCCTTAATGTAGTCCCTATATCGGTACTTTGGGGCTCATGTATCTCTATAGAACCCTTATAGGAACCCTTATAGGAGCCCTTAAAGGAACCCTATATGGGTACATGGGCCCTTAGGGTTCCTCTAGGTCAAAGCCCTCCAACCCTAAGCCCCATGTTTCAAGGCAGAGCTCCCGCAGTCTGGGGGCAACCTATCGAAGCCTCATGGCATGGTTGGTTTAGGGTCTAGCGGTTTTTTGGGGTTTTGGGGCTTAGGGGTTGTAGGGGTTTACGGGTTTAGGGGTTTAGGGGTTTTGGGGATTTGGGGGTTAGGGGTTCAGGGGTTTTGGGGTTTAGGGGTTGTAGGTGTTTTGGGGTTTAGGGGGTTAGGGGTTTAGGGGTTTAGTTTAGTGTTTGGGTTTTGCGGTTGTAGGGGTTTAGGGGTTTAGGGGTTTGGGGGTTTTGGGGTTTAGGGGTTAGGGGTTTAGGGGTTTAGGGGTTTAGGGGTTGTAGGGGTTTGGGTGTTTTGGGGTTTAGGGGTTTAGGGGTTTCGGGATTAGGGTTTAGGGTTTAAGGGTTTAGGGGTTTAGGCTTTAGGGTATAGGTTGTTGCCCAACACCATGTTACGTCCTTTTTTACGAATACCTAGCTAGCTCTGGTCCGACTCAGCGGGACTTTATGTCTACTCAACCCCGATCAAAATAACAGGCTGAAAGTTAGGCGTTTCACTGCGACGTCAGCAATATGGTTTTGGGACTGTTGTTTAGGGGCTGGGGTTGTAGGAGTGCAGAACCCCAAACCCTCAACCCTAAACCCAGAACCCTAAGTTCAATTTTTTGGTTTCAGGTCTTTGGTGGCTGACTTCTTGTTGGACCTGATCGACCTACGAGGGCCGGTGCTGCAGGCAGTGCTGTCAAGAAAGCTTGGGATGTGGAAGTTTAGGGCCTGCCATTGCTGTAGTGCAGCCCCACCTAGTAGGACCTACAGCCCTAGAGCCTGAACCCCAACTCTAAAATCCAGAACCCTAAAACCCAAAAACATACACACCTAAACGCGACAATCCCCAAACTATGAACTCCATCACCCTAGAACCCTAAGCTGACAAGATCTGGGCCCTAGAGACTCGAAGCATCCCGAAGCCCTACTACAGAAGCCTGAAGAATCTGACCGTTGATTCTGGAGGAGCTAAGGAGCCAGGGATGATGATAATCCCTTTTAAACAAGGAGCTAAAGAGCCAAGGGAGCCCCAAAGCCACTGGTTAGTATTAAGCAATACTATTAATTTGATTCCGGGTATGGTTAGGGTGCAGGATTGACGGTTTAGGGTTCAACTATAGATAGAACACCCCCAAGCCTATTCTAATGATACGGTTGCATTTGCATACAGCCCTTCAACAATACCAATCAAAGGTGCCCTCTTCCACGAATCCCTTAACCCTAAACCCTTGAAGCGGGAGCCTTCCTTTGCGAGATGCTTTGGATTCGGGATGTGATTGGTGAGGGGTGCATCACCCCAAACCCCAGGTTGGGATTTATGGGCTTCAGGGTGTTAGGGCTTTAAGGGTTTAGTGTTCAGGGTAATTACAGGGTTCAAGGTTTAGGGGTTCAGGGCTTCGGGGTTCAAGGTTGTGGCACAGAGCCTCAAAGCCCAATTTTCAGCAGTGTCCTGGACCTTACTTGGAGGTTCATGGGTAGTTATAGGTCGGGTTATAAGCAGGGTTACTATACTCATAACCCATATTAGGGACTTATAACCCCATATATATCTACCATGAACCTCCAAGTGGAGCTTACCAAGTCGGGTTTATCTTGTGTGTCGAGGGCTCTCGGGCATTCTGATGAATCCGTCGTATCGGAGTTACTATGGGAAGACTGCAGTCACATGGGTGGTTGTCAAAATTGCGGTCCCTTTTGGGTCCCTAATATAGTACGGCACCTCATATTTAGCGTACCCAAAACGGAGCCATAATTTTGACAACTACCCATGTATCGAGGGATTGCGGGGAGTAGCCCTGGCCTTGTAAGTATTTGATTGGAACTTAGCTAGGATCTTAAGACCTCAACTTTTCTAGGTTCCCTTGGTGTTTTTCTAGTCTTCTAGCGTCTGAGAAGTTAATTTTTAGAAGGGCTTCAAAGTGCCATCGTGGTACGGCGTGTGATGCATGCCCCCTTAGACCAACACCCCTGAAACCATAAAAGAGAACCCCGATGCCCTGACGCTCTAGAACTCTAGAGCCTACATCATTAATTCCTTGAATCCTAGTCCCCAAAGCCCCGACGTGGAGGTTCATAGGTAGTTATAGGTAGGGTTATAAGTAGAGTAGCTATACTTATAAACCGTATTTGGGGACTTATCACCCCACTTCTAACTACCCATGAACCGCCAAGTAGTCCCCAAAACCCCTAAAGAATCCATCGATCTCTGGAGGACTTCAACAACCTGGCTGTGACTGGCCTTGTCGGACAGGAGGAGGGGCGCAGGATGTGGATCGTGAACGACAACGGAGGCTACCAGGATAGAAGCTTCGAAACCCAGCTGATATCTCTGCGCACGCCCCTCGACTAGGGGCAGAGCCCAGTTTCTCACAGCCAAAGCATCAGCACACAGAGGTTTCTGATGGCTACACACAGCCGATTGTCGTTACGATGTTCAGTCTTCTGCTACACCATCTCGTAGCAAGCAGCACCAACGAAGCCATCTTGGTTTATTGTTTGCAACATGGCAGTGATCATACCGTACGGTCGTTGCTAATTGCACTCATTGGTCACGAGCGCTTCAGTCGAATGCCATAGCAATATAACCCTCATAACTGCTAGTCGTCCTGCTGCTGCCGCTGCTGCTGGAGATGGTGCTTGGTATTGATGGTATCTGTAGAGACGATGGCAGTGACCGTCGCGATGTTGTTTGTGATTTCTGTGGTTATCCCGAAACTCCTGATGCTTCTCTGGTTAGGATGCTGCCGGTCATGGGGACGATGGTAATGATTATGACAACGACGACGATCAGGAGGACGATGATGATGATACTGATGATGATGACGATAATGATGATGATGTTGCTGCTGTGTGTGCTGTGGCAGGTGTGGGCACACAAACGCAGACAGCAAATAACATCATAGAGGAGCTGGCAAGCATTATCAAGAACATGAGCGCCTGCATCATCAGCAGCAACGACAACAACGAGACCAGCGAGAACAGCGACAACAACAACAACGGCAGCAGTCTCCGCCGACACCATCCATCAGAAGCAGCAACACCGGCAGCAGCAGAGCAGCAACAACGGCAGAATCACCAGCGACAGCACAAACAACGACAGCAGCCAGCAGTTGTTGCCCTGGACCTCCCCCGACCCTCTCCCTGCAGCAAAAAGAAGTACCATTGCGACAGCGTCCTGCGACATCGGCGACGACAGCTGCAACAGGCCCCTAGGCCTAGGCGGCCGCGGGAAGCATGAGCAACAGCGGTGGAACAGCGCTAGCGGCATCAGACGAGGAAGCACGTCAAGAACCTCAGCAGGAGAAGCAGCCGGCGCAGCAGCAGGAGCGGCATAGGCCATTCACCACCGATTGAGTGTAAAGCAAAACCTGCACCAGGAATGGACGAGGCGACGGTGATATTGTTGACGAGGAGCAAGAATCAAGCCAGGATGTAGAACACTTGATGTCATAACCGAGGTGATGATGATTGTCATGCTGCCAAAGAAAGTAGTATGCAACACTCCTAAAGATCGAACAACAGCAGCTACCAATGCGAGAGATGAATTTGCCTTGTTGAGACGATTGTGAGAACATGGGCAATCTAGTATTATAGTGGCTCGTTGTTTTGAAAGTCTCCGGTGCAAAGAGGCCAGGAGAACTAAAGCCAGCAAGCTCCTCGTGGAGTATAGTTCCTTGTTGAGTATCATGCATGGAATTTCGAGCAGACCGCCCAAAGCGAGCCGTTCATGAAACTTGAGAGGCTGGCGGTAATTAAGGACTGGAACATGCCAGGCCCCCGCGGTACAGCAGCAAGCGGGAGTTTGATAGCACGCAATGTAGACATGAAGTTGCGGAGGCTTTATAGGATGTGTACAGTTATACAGGTTCAGAGTTTGTAGGGTTTGTAGGGTCTGTAGGGTTTGTAAGGTTTGAAGGGTTTGTAGGGTTTGTAGGGTTTAGGGTTTGGGGTTTTAGGGTCAAGGGTAGTGGCATTCATGTCATCGCAGCGGTCATCGTGACGTTCGCCTTCGCACGAGGGCTCGTAGCGGCAGTGGTGGTGGTAGTCGTCGTCGAAATGGGAGTTTCCGAAAATAGGGGACCCTAATATAGTACCCTAAATAGTAGGATCCTCAATATAAGGACCCCCACAATAAGGTACCCCTGTTTTCGGAAACCCCCAAATCGTAGAAGAAGCAGCACTAACCGATGCTAGAAAAAGATGGCCGGCTGCAGGCCCTCTCAAAGCCCCAAGAGACTCCAAAAGCCCGTAATTAAGGAATATACCTTAAATCATATTAGGGAATTTAAGGCATATTCCTCAATTAAGGAAATGGACCTTCAATCATGTTCCGGATCCTACTACAATTTAAGGCATATTCCTCAATTAAGTGATGTTGGAGTCTCTGGGCCTACCTTAGCCCTGAAGAACCTACCTTTTTAAGGACTTATATAAGGAAATCATAATAGGGAACCCTGAAAAGGTAGGTTCTTCAGGGTTAAGGTAAGCCCTAAATCCTAAATCCTAAACCCTAAACCCTAAACCCTAAGCCCTAAACCCTAAACCCTTTTAGCGAGCCCGCAGACCATGAGGAGCCATTCTGGGATCTACAAGGGTTTACCTGGAGGGTCATGGGTAGTTATAAGGGTTCCTTTAAGGGTCCCTTTAAAGGGATCTATAGGGATTCTATAGGGTGTAGGGTTTAGGGTTGAACTGGAGGTTCATGGGTAGTTATAGGTGGGGTAATAAGTAGGGTAGCTTCTCGTATGATCCATGTCAGGTCACTTACAACCGCTAAACCCTAAACCCACCTAAAGCCGAAAAGACCTACCTTGTTTAAGGAACTATATATAGAAACCATAATAAGGAACCCTACAAAGGTAGGTCTTTTCGGCTACAGGTAAACCCCGCTTCTGAATAACTACCCATGCAGCTCCAAGTCTCGGATGAGCGGTATAACGGGGGACCCTCACAGCCCTGAGGCGAAAACTTTGGACGTAGCCGAGTACGGGTGCCTTCATAGTTGGAATAGGGTTTGGGGATCCTTTTGTAGTACATGGGAGTTTCCGAAAATTAGGGGTACTGCATTTTGGGGTCCTTCTAATAAGAACCCTTCTATTTAGGGTACTTTCTTATCGTCCCCTATACTCCCATATGTAGAGATAAGTCAGCAGCCCTAAGGGAAACGTATTATGGAGTGTCGAGACCCCTACAGTAAATGCCCTCCATGCTCTACATCCAGAGACGCAGAGGCAAAGACCCTTAGCCCTCGTTACCAAGACAAGCATAGAGTCCCTTGGTTGTCTGCATTCACCCCGCGTGATTTGGTTCAAAGCTGTTGCATTGTTGAAATATTTGCGCTGATGATGCTAACGCTCCCTGGCTGCAGATGGGTTTGCAGTTTCAACCTTCTGGGGGCGTAAACCCTAAGCCCTAAGCCCTATACCCTAAACCCTTTACCCTAAACCCTAAGTTTTAGTACTTAAGCTTAGAGTCACCACTTTTCGGCGGAGGAACATCCATGGAGGCTTCCTGTTGAGGGCTCTATGACTCGAGTATTCTAGCAGCTTTGTCAGAGGTCATGTCCAGAGACTCCAATATCCCTAAACTAAGGAATACCTAGGGTTCGGGCTCCTGTAAGGGATCTATAAAGGGATACATGGCTTATAGGGTTCCAAGAGACTCCAATACCCCTTAAGGAAGTTACCTGAAAACACATGATGGATTCTACTCTAATGTAAGGTAAATACCTTAATTAATTCAACGATATTGGAGTCTCTGGGTGTCGACCTCTTCTTGATAATACGCCCTCATGCTTCGTCGCAGCTCGAAGCCTTTTTCGTATGAGTTGCACAATGCACAATCTGTTGCCGCAAACCCTGCGGAACGTGAAGAGTTTCCTGTAGTAAGACACGCATCATGGGTTGAACAACATCCCTGCCACTTGTAGCAGTATGATTTCTGAAACTCTAGCTGAGGCGTAGGTTTTCATTTCATTGCGGGTAGTAATCCAGCCAAACTGGCTCCGCCAGTCCCACTTCTGTTTTTCACCCCCGTAGTAATCTTTAATACAATTGAGACCAATAGCAACATGATTGACCACCACTCCACATCCTCAAAACTTTTGCGAACAGCACCCTTCTACTCCGCACACCTAGAGCGTGTAGGGTTTAGGGGAACGCAGACCCTACTTCTAGCTCGGGTTGTTGGACCTTCAGCGAGGGCTCTTCTTCAGGCCTGTTGTCTTGAACCCTGAGCCGCAAAAAGCCTGAAGCGCCGGTACTCCCCGAAAGTACGGCACATCCTAAACCTGCTTCAGTCTTCAGTTTTGTGATGAGTTGTTTTCTGGTAGTGCGAAGGGTAGCATAGCACATCTTGCATTCGTGATCCTGCACCTAAAGTTCCCTGAGCCCCAAATCCTCCGGTACAGGGCGATCTTCTTGTGCCTGCTCCTCATCGGCTGCCGGGCAGTGCAGGAAGACGCCTGCGATGATGATGGCTCAGCTTCGCTTCAGGTATCGTGCTCGAGCAAACATGAGGGCTTCAGGAACGGCTTGTTTAGGGGTCATTGTAGTTATAGTAAGAATCTTCTTATCGTTGGACTTCTATATTAGGGCAGCTTTTGGAAGCTCCCAGATCTTGATTTGTGAGGGTACTGGGTTTAAGGCTGAAGGTGTCGGACGTGAGGGTCTGGGGTTTAGGGTGCCTGATCCGGGAAGCCGGGACTAGTTAAAGAGGTAGCGAGCATCCGGCTTAGAGTCATCAGTTTCATGATTGTGACTAACATAGGCGCCTCAGCCATTACCTGTACTCTCTTGGGGGTTCCTTAATATAATCACAGTATAATAAGTATAATATGCCCCCAAAACACTACTCTGCTTTTAAGGCCTCTGTATTATGTCTTGAACCGCATGGAGCTCAGGTGACAAAGGAGGAAGCTGGGCCTCCACCGAATCGCGGCCAGCGGTTTCCCCACGCCCGGCCACATTCACCCGGTCGCCGCTTCTTCCGGCGCCACAGAAGAGCCCACAACGGCGTTTACCATCGGCAGAAGTGGTCGACCGAACCACCCACGACACCGGCTCCCGAACCTGGGAAGCAGTGTTGCATCTTCAATCGCATCGGGTTCTTCGCATTTAAGACGCAGGAGGACGTGCAAAATGATATTTGGGGTGCAAATTCCTTCGATATAGCACCAGATCAGCGCACTGTAGTTTACTCCGATCACACACAGGTCGGCTTCGCCGACATTACCGACCCATACAGCCCGGAAGGAGCAGGCTTGAGTACCAGCTTTTGGAACCCGGATTTTGTGGCAGTCAAAGACAATACGTTTGCTTTAGCCACACGCCGCGACCGGCTGATCGTTGTTAACATTACGTCTCAAACATCCGTGCACACCATCGAGCTTGGAGAACGGGCATCTGACATTGCTATCAGCCCAGACAAAACGATTGCGGCCATTGCGACTGAAGGTAGCTACATGGTCCAGGTGAACATCTCTGATTCGAACCCACTGGCCTGGACAACGCAGGTCATAAGCGACATTACGAACATTACATACGACGGCGCCAAGGTTGAAATTCGGGCAGACAACATCGCAGTGCTGACCCTGCAGAGCAACTCGGTGCTCATACTGAACCTGACGGATGCTACAATCCTTGACAGGTTCTCTGCCGGTGAAGTGAACCTCACTGGCATCGACACGAAGGAGGCAAGATATACTACCCAGAAACTCCAACGTAGAGGTGCTGTTGCTAGCGAGCCTTCCTGTCAGGATCCTCTAGCCTAGGAACTGATACACAAACTACACATATCAACCTACCTGGAGCTGTCAAAACCAAGCCTGTTTGTAGGGTCCCTATAAACTCCATATTAAAGTGTATAACCAACCCCCTTTCCACAAACAATAGGGTTATGGTAGCTTAATGTAGACCAGACGTCCGAACCACCCCTCGTGCAGGACGACTTCATCAACCTGACCTCCAGCCTCACGGATGTTAGGCCAGACATGGGCCCTAGTAGCGTCCTTTTACCCTTTTCGTTTGGGGGTTTTAAAACTGAATAATTAGTAAGGACCAAGGGTACCTTTATTGTAAAGCGGGTTACTGGCCCAAAGGGTCATATGTACTGTTTATGGGGAATACTTTCCCTAAGCCATAATAGTAATTCCTTGTATCTACGATATCGGTACATAGGACCCTTTGGGTGGGGAAGCTCGCAGGCGCACACCATACGATGTTGCTTGGCTCGGGGATTCCAGCTTCTTTGCTACGGCGGACCGGCGCAGTCGACACTTGCCTCGGTGTTGCCACACCCAATCAGAACCCTAAACCCTAAACCCTTATGGGAGTTTCCGAAAATTAGGGGTACCTTGTTTTGGGGTCCCCTTGGCCCACTGTTTCTGCGTTTTTTTTTTTTTACGGGGGTTTAGGGTTTAGGGAACGATTGGCCGTTGGAGCCTGATTGTGGATGGCTGTTTCTTTTAACTCTCCCACCCCACGCCGTTTAAGGCGGCCAAACCACCCAAACCTATTCCTTTTAGGGTTTAGCACCTAAACTCATTCTATGGTTTTCTCTATTTCTTCAACCGCACAACAGGGCAGCAGCAAGGCGTGCAAGGCAGGCAGGGCCCCGAGGAGTCCCGAAGGGTTTAGAGCAGGCGCAGACAAAGAAAGAGGGGGACCTCGACTTTGGCGCCTGGCCCTAATTGAAATGCAAATTTTTTTATGAACGCAATTAGCCTTGGCGCTGGCTGGGCTGCTGAACTCTGAAGGCTGGGGGCTGCGGGGCTGGGGGCTGGGCCGGTGCTGGGCCGGGGCTGGGCTGGAAGTTGGCTAGACACGTTTAATGAACATTTGAAACTAACGAAATGCAATTCGAAGCCACATTCACACAATTTCTATTTATCCTGCTCTTGAAGGTATAGGATTTGGGGTTTAGGGTTTAGGTTTTAGGGTTTAGGTTTTACCTAACTGAATCATGAGTTGCCATATGCCTGTGTTGACCTCCAAGCCCTAAGCTTGAGACCCAGGAGGTTTCAGCATCTTCAAGCAGAGTGGAGAGCTTATCTTCACTTCGGGGAATCAGCTGGACTACCTGGCCGTTTCCTTACTCGAGTAAGTAAGATTTGACTATGGTTTCCCTTCTTGAAGGTAGATGGATCCTCTAAGACAAACCCTAAACCCTACGCCCTCAACCCTAAACACCTCAACCCTAAACCCTAAATCCTAAACCCTAAACTAAGATGGTTCAAAAGGCTGACCCCTCGTCCCCCGGTAGCAATCTGGACAAGTAGGTTTCTCTTGGTCACTATCCTGAGTCAGACTCTGACGAGGGAGATGCAAGCATTGATGTGCGGACTGTGCAGTTCGGCACCGTCGACGATTGCCAGATGCTTTTTGTCCAGTGTATCAGGTCAAGCCTCACCTTTGTCTTTGAGGTCTCCGACCCTTCTAAGCCCGATTTCTTGCAGGCACTGCCCGCCGTCAGAAGGCCTGCGCAAGGGAAGGTGGTGCCCGACCGGTATCTCTATGTCTCGATCTCGGAAGGACATTCGAGCTCCAGTCGGGACATTGACTCAGGTTTGGACTTGTACCAGTGTTCAAGGTGGGCTAGACAGTTTCCCTTCCTGGAGTCCGGAGACGCAGAAGATGGCACGCCCATTCCATGGACGTCTGTGGCCGGCCTCACAGGGGAGGAAGACGGCACGTTGTATGGCATCGAGGGTGATGAGCTGGAGGCGCAGACGCAAATCCTGGTTATTGACAGTCAGCAGCAACCTCCGCTGATCACAGAAACCATCTCCGTGACATACCCGAATGGCAGCTTGGTGGAGAAGTTGCAGGCTCAGGGGATCGAGCGGATTCCCTCAGGCTTCGCGATTGTCGAGAAGTCTGGGCGTCTGCATCTTCTCAGCACCTCCGGTGTGCTTCAGGCGTCCTTGGATGTCCAAGTCTTCGGCAGCCTCAGCGGCGTGGCCTACGATCCGAGTCTTGGTCTCCTTCTTACGGACACCAGCGGCTTCGTGCAGTTGTGCGATTTGCAGCCGGCCTGTGGCTTGAGCAATTTCAGCTACGCGGTGGAGGCCGGGGAGTCGCAGCAGGAATCCTTGAGATGTAGAAGAAGTACTGAGTACTGGGAACATGATTGCCCCAAGAAGTAGCCAAGCAGCGCGGCAAGTAGGCACGCCACAGACCTGAGTTGGCCTCAAACCCCCCGAATCCTGTCGCAGGACAGCGTCCCGGTGGAGCTACGAGACGTGGCAGCCGCAGGGAATGGCACCTTGCCTGCAAGACTGCAATGAAGGACTCAGAACATAAGAGCTAGCACAATTGGAGATTCGGAAGCATCCTTCGATTAAGATGTCTACATATATTACGTATAGTCTCCATTCTGGCTCGTTCTTTGGCTTAGCCAGTCTTATAAGTTGTATACTGAGGATCCTAAGAGGTAGCACCAAACAGGAACTGCACTGCAGACTATACGTAGCATTGCACTACTTGGAGGCTTGGGGGTAGTTAGCAGCGGGTTATAAGTTATGAGCCCCCTAATCTGGGTTCTAATTATAGTTAACCTACTTATAGTCATAACCTCCAGTTTTGACTTCTTACTACCCATGAACCTCCAAGTAGGCCCTAAACCCTATACCTATACCCTTATAGAATCCCTATAGATCCCTTTAAAGGGACCGTTAAAGGAGCCCTTATAACTACCCATGAACCTCCAAGCAAGCCCCGAACCAAGACTCTGCCCTTCCCCGCTCACGTCGCTCGAGGGTTTGAAATCAGCGTCCCATTTCTGAGACTCGGATTCCTTAGACTGGGCTTCCTGAAACATATAATTAGGATCCTATAAGGTAACCCCAACAAGGAACTATAAGGGAGACAAGAGGTAGGCTTCCTGAAGCTATATAGTATGCCAAACGTGCCCAAATCCATTTTGAAAGCGCCTGCATTGTTAGTTCATCCGGAGGTGCCTTCCTGTTCCTGGAGACAGATGGCCAAGGCGGATTTGATGCTGCAGTTGGCAGGATTTACAAGGCTTCTCGGTTCATCCAACTTCTTCGTTGCCTTAAACCTTAACCCGTGAAACCTCCGTTATTGCTCCCCCAAACCTTGAGCAGAAGCCCGCGATGCCTGCAATCCCAAGATCCCGACAGCGAAACCCTCAACAGGCCAAGCCTGCCTTAAACAACCATAAGCTGCTCTTTCTAGGTTCTTCTTTTGCAACACAGTTATAGGGACCCAACCAGAAATTGGCTTTGGCAGCGTCGTTGTCTGGATCGATACGTATACCGATACCTATCGTCTACATTGTAGTTGTTTTATAGGTACTGCGCAAAGACACGGTGCGAGGTCTCCGCTGTCCCAGCGTTTATTCCCATCCTTAAGCATTGCCAGTACCTGGAGCTACTAAACCTAATTTGTTCGTGGGGTCCCTTCAACAACTCCATAGTAAGGTTTTATGATAAGAACCTACAAGAAAAGCAGGGTGTGGTGTTTTTAGGCGTTGCTTGCTACTGTTTCAGTGACAGCACTAGATGCTGGTACTGCTGCCATGATACCTGTCACTGATACGGCCTCTGACAACCACCATGAACATCGAAGTAAGCGTGACAGCACATGCGAATTCTGTCATGGCTTTCACATCCCTCTCCTACACTACAAGCTCTGTTTTTCAAATCCAAAACCCCAACAGTCGACTCAGAGATCCCTCAGGTTCAGACGGTCAGACTTTCAACCCTGAACCCCAAACCTCTAAACCCACACAGCTTGAAGCCTTAAGCCCCAACCCCTCGACCCAGAAAACCCTGAGCCCCAAACTACAATTCAAGGCTGAGCTCCCGCAGTCTGGAGGCCAGTTATCGAAGCCTCTTGGCTGGGTTGCACATCATTATACATTCTGTTTTTCTGTTTGAATACGAGTTTATTCATATTTAGCCCTGTTACGACTCTTTGGTTTTGGTCAGTACTTAACAGCAACCAGACTAGGATGAAAGTGTTCATGTTTTCTTGCACATCAGCATTTTAGGGTTTTGATTGGAGCTGAGGATTCAGGTTTCAGGGTTGTAAACCACCAAACCCTCAACCCTAAACCCAGAACTCTACCAGGACGCCCCAAGGACCCTTTAATGGAGCCGTTATGGTCCTTATAATAGTGGTTTGGGGCATATTAGAGGGTAGTTTGGGGGTCCAGGTAGGGTCTATAATAGGGCTACTACTAAGGTCCTAATATATCTATATTATGAATATTATTCAACTATTACTGAGTGGGGGGCCGTACCCAAGTTTAGGGTTTGGTTTCAGGTCTTTGGTGGCAGACTTCTTGCTGGATCTGACCGACCTCCGGGGGCCAGTGCTGCAGGCAATGCTTTCAACAAAGTTGGGGCGTGTGGGATTTCGGGCCTAGTTTAGGGGCTCAAATAAGTACCAATACTATTCCAGGGGTTAGGCTTTAGGGTACTCAAAAATCCCTTACAAGGCCCTTTGTTATGCCTGTTTAACCAAAAACCTCAAACCAGAAACCGAGTCCTAAGCCTTCCCCTCCAATATCCTTAAGTTTGGGGTTTATTACCCTATAGGGTTTAGCGTAAACTCCCAACCCCTAAATCCTGAACGGTGCACGGAGGACTTCAACAGCATGGCCGTGACTGGCGTGGTCGGAGCAGGGAAGAGGCGAAGAATGTGGATTGTGAACGACAACGGAGGTTACTCCAGCACAAGCTGGGAAACCCAACTGATATCTCTGCGCACGCGCCTCGACTAGGTACATCCAAGAATCTTCGCGGGGACATCAGCAGGACTCAAGTACAACAGTAGCTTTGATCTACACACAGTCAGTAATGCCATTGCGATATGATTATTGCTGTTTCCTAAGTACGTAGTAATTGGTGCCAGCCATCTTGTATATTGATCACAATATGACAATAAGCATAATTACCGCACATTATTGACGAAGGGTTTTGACGAATGGTATTGCCTGAAATGACATCCGTGGTGTCAGTGCTGGTGACATTGCTGCTGGAGATGGCTCTATATTGAAGGTGGCAGCAAGGAGGATGGCAGCGACCGTTGTTGTTGTTTGTGGTCTGCGGCTAGCGCGAAACTCCTGATGGTTCTCTGATTATGATGCTGCCGGTCACGACACAGATTATGCTGCAGCTGCTGTTGTTGTTGCTGCTGCTGGCATTTGTTGTTTCTGTTGCTGCTGCTGATGAGGGCGGTGCCGGTGGTGACTGCGGGGACTCTGAGAATGACAATGACAATAATGATGATGATGATGATGATGATGATGATGTTAAAAAACATTACATACGAATAATAGTTCTATCCCCGACGTGAAGCAAAACCTGCATCGCGAACGAGACGGCGTTGATGTTGTGGACCAGGAGCAGGCAGCACGCCACGATGCAGAACACTAACATCATGAGCGAGGTGACGATGATGGCTAGGCTGACAACGAAGATGATATGCGGTTTACAACAATTGCCACAATGCACACAGCCACAAGACATGAACGTGTTTTGTCTTACTGAGACGATTGTAAGAACATGGGCAATATAGCGGCTCGGTGTTTTGAAAGTCTCCGGTGCAAAGAGGCCAGGAGAACAGAAGCCCGCAAGCTCCGTGTGGAGCTTAGCTCCTTGTGGAGTATCATGCATGGAATTTGGAGCAGACCGCCCAAAGTGAGCCGTTCATGAAGCTTGAGACTCTGGCGGAATGGATTGGAACAGGCCCCCGCGCTACAGCAGTAAGTGGGAGTTCGATGGCACGCAATGCAGAACTGAAGTTGTGCAGGTCGACACTTTTCTGAGCCACACGACAGGACCCCTAAAGTTTACGCTTACTCCAAAGGCCCGAATGTGTAGTTGCAGAATTCCGTAGGCTCCTTAATGTGAGTATAGCCCTCTCCGAATTATCATGGCCCCTATATTATAGAACCATTCTAGTAACCCTTGCAGTAACCCTTAACCCTTAGAGGGTCTAGGGGTTGAAGATTTAGGCGAAAGCTTAGTTTTCGAAGTTTTTTGACGTGGACTCTTGCGGGAATCAAGAATGTGGGGTTCTAGGGCTTGGTATCGATGCCTGAATAAATACGTCTATATACTGCCCCGTAGGATCCTTACTATCATTCTATCATAGTATACTATCTGAAATGCCCTTGCACTACTTTTTCCGATCCCTGTTGTTGGGCTTCAGGGATTGGGCTGTGCCGGAATTTCTTGTCTCGTGTTTGTATCGAACTGGGTTGTAGTGCCAGGCTTGTGAGCTAGCGCAGGCAGGCTTTCCCGATGGATTTAGGGTTTTCCTAGTAGTCGAGTAAGTAGCCTTTAACCTTTTTTTGGGTAGTACAATTCCTATGTAATCCTTATATAACCAAAAAGGTCAACCTTTAGTTCCCCATGATACCCGACAAATAGGTTTTTAGGGTTTAGCCATGACAGGAGCTAGCCATGTTAGTTTCAGCAGTGGTAGTGCTAAGAATAGCCACGGTGGCGGCCGTGGCCGTTGTTGTGGTCGCAGTAGTCGTCGTAGTCGACGTCGTTTAAGCAGAGGTGCAGAGGAAGCAGCAGCACTACTAGGACAAGCAGCAGCGCAATCCGCACTACGTAGCCACTGCTTGAATTTCATGCAAGCCTGGATTCCCTGTCAAATAGCCTCTAGACGGGAATCCTGAACCCTGAATCATAAATCTCCGTTTTAGCCCATAATTAGGGTCCTTTCGCCTTTATGTGTCTTGGGGTCTCCTTAGTGGAACTAAATACTAGGAAGAAAGGGCCGTTGTTATAAAAGGGCTACTGGGGAATCTAGCTGCTTTGCAACCCTTCGATCGAGACCCCAGAAGCGGAAAGCCTTAAACCCCAAACCTTAATCCTAAACCCTAAACCCTAAACCCTAAACCCTAAACCCAAACCCTAAACCCTAAACCCTAAACCCTAAACCCAAACCCTAAACCCTAAACCCCAAACAAATCCTCGTCCAGGGCTTGAGGGTGTAGGATGCCTTCGGCCCTAAAGGGGCCACACCAGAGACTCCGAACAGAGCCTAGGCCTTAGGAGCCTAAATGCGCACAATGCCTTGGGTCCACAAGAGCCACAGCTGCGGTCTAGGGCCTAAGGTTTAGAGCTTGAATCGTTAATCTTCAACCTCACTGCCTGTTCAAGCCAAAGACCCTTCCGCGACATCAAGACAGGCCTAGAAGCTTTTCGTTGCATGCACCCCTGGGGTTGGGCTCAAAGCTGTTGCATTTTTGAAATGGTAGCTGTGTAGGTTGATGATTTTGACGCTCTCTGGCCGCAGATGGTTGGGAGTGTAACATAGGAGCCTTAGTAACTACGCATACTCCTTTCGTGGTTCGTTATTACGTTTATTGTGTAGTGGGCTCCAAAACCGTATTCTCATTGTTAAGGCCTCTATATTAAGCTGTTCGGGATTACAACTGATCTTAACACTTAAGCCTAGACTCCAGACTTATGGTGCTGAGGAAGTGAGTTGTTCAGGGTTTCTGCAAGGACTCAATTTTTGTTCAGGTTGAAATCCATACATGCCGTAGTAAGTGAGGAAGTATGTAAATAAGAGATGGGCCCCATGTCGAACAGAGCATATCACGGAGTACTTCGGACGCAGTCTTCTTTTCTATGGTTCGTGTGTAACACACTTTCTATGGATCTCTGTACGGGACGTCGTGGCGACTTGTTTGCATGCGCATATCGCCCACAGTTGGAGCATACCCTCGGTACGAGCCAAGTACGAGATTAAAGCCTAGAGCCGAACTCTACAATCCTGAAGCCTAACCTCGTAGTAGAGTGGGTAACCTTTAACCTTTTTGGGGGTAGTATAGTCCCTATGTAATCCCTATATACCTAAAAAGGTTAACCTTTAGTTCTCCATGATACCCGACAAGAACCCTAAACTTTCTAAAGCATGTTTATACCGATGGGCATACCTTCCGATATCTTCCACCCGAAGCGCATCACCCCTCGAGAGACTTCATTAGCCAGCCCAGGCTCCTTGCTGCTAAAATAAACACATCAGCTAAACCCTACCTTAACCCTGAAGAACCTACCTTTTTAGGGTTCCCTATTATGATTTCCTTATATAAGTCCTTAAAAAAGGTAGGTTCTTCAGGGTTAAGGTAAACCCTAAACCCAAATGGGAGTTTCCGAAAATGAGGGGGTACCTTATTTTGGGTCCTTTTTTATAAGGCTCCTACTGTTTAGGGTACTTTCTTAGGGTCCCCTATTTTCGGAGACGCCCAAATGCGAAACCTGAAACTTGAACCTGTGACCTCCCAGCAGAGGCCCCTTCCAAGAATCCTAAACCTGGAAACCACCCTAAACCCTAAACCCTAAACCCCTAAACCCTGAACCCTAAACCCTAAACCCCTAAACCCTGAACCTTAAACCCCAAGCCGCTAGACCCTGAACCCTAAACCCCTAAACCCTGAACCCTAAACCCAAAGCCCCTAAACCCTGAACCCTAAACCCTGAACGCCTAAAGCCTGAGGCAGGAGGAGCAATGGATGGTGATCCTCTCAGTTCTGGAGCAACTTTCAGAGTTCCTTTAAGGGGACGCTCCTTTGGAATCCTAAAGTAGCCTTCAAAGGGGACCCTCCTCTAGAACCCTACAGAACCCTTAAAAGGGGTTCTGTTTGCAGGTGCAGGATTTTGGGTGTGGGCTGTCAGGGCTGTCAGGGTTTTGGGCATTGACAGTATGGTCTTTGGGCTTTCGAGTGCGGTTTAGGGTTTAGGGTTGTCCTTCTAGGATGCCCAGTAGTACCCTTATTCCCTTTTTGTAGTCCTAGGTTCCTTATAAAGTTACCCAACACCAAAAAGAGATGCCTTTTTATTCTTAGGTTACTGGGTATCCTAGCCTTTCTGGTTGGGGGTAACCCTAAACCCTAAACCCTAAACCCTAACCCCTAAACCCTAAACCCTAAACCCCTGAACCCTAAACCCTAAACCCTAAACCCTAAACTCCTAAACCCTAAACCCTAAACCCTAAGGGCCTTAAGCCACGGCCTTGTGACTGGGGGTAGACAGCGAGCCGTGGCCTCGTGAGACCCAGAGTCGAAGGTAGCCATAGTAGGGTTTAGGGTTTAGGGGTTTAGGGTTTAGGGTTTAGGGTTTAGGGTTTAGGGGTTTAGGGTTTAGGGTATAGGGTTTAGGGTCTAGGGGTTGCCATAAACCCGAGAGCTCTGCTGCATAAGTTTTTTCCGACATTTTCCTGCTCGCCAAAGAGCCTTAGCCTCCAACCTTCAAGCCTCGACACACAAACTGAACACTCCCACAAAACCCCGAACCACAAAATTCTGCATCCTGAAACCTAAGCCCGAAATCGCGAACCCCAAATCCTAAGAACTAGCTTATAAGTCTGAGCTGCATTCTGAACTGCAGGCAGCCTACTGGGGCCCCCCGGCGGAGGCTACCAGTCGCTGCTGTCCACGAACTACAGCGTGCCCTCAACGAAGCGCCTCAGACGATGTTTTGAGGTTAAAGGTTAGGGGGGTTCAGGGTTGAGGGTTCAGGGTTTTTGGGATTCAGGGTTGAGGGTTAGGCAGTTAGGGGCGGTTGGACTTCCGGGGCCCAAGTGCAAGACCATCATTTAACACGCCCAAAATCTAACTTTCTTGGAGTTCGGATGTGTTCTGACTTCCTAGCGGATTGACACTGAAATAGGGGTTTGGGGTTTGAAAGGGTTTAGGGTTTGGGGTTCAGGGTTAGGGGTGTTGGATTTAGAGTTTGGGGTTTAGGGCAGCCATGAAAC